GTTAGACAATATACACTCCGTTAGACAATATACACTCCGTTAGACAATATACACTCCGTTAGACAATATACACTCGGACAATATACACTCCGTGAGACAATATACACTCGTACAATATACACTCCGTTAGATAATATACACTGTTAGACAATATACACTCGGACAATATACACTCCGTTAGACAATATACACTCGGACAATATACACTCCGTTAGACAATATACACTCAGACAATATACACTCGGTTAGACACACTGCCTTCTTCATCACGAACCGCACCCCAAACATTGTCCTGTAAATCGCGGTCTCTTTGGACGCAATGATAGCTACTAGTTAAACGCTTTACTGGAAGAGTAGGCCAAAATTACCTCTGCGGTGGCCTCTCCAGAGCCCCCCTCCTATTGCTAGTACAGTGCAACACTTTACGAATACCACATTTGCCGCCGTGATGCTGTAATATCTCAGCACCACTGCGTGCTTTGTGACTGCAGGGGCCATGCCGTGCCTGAACAAGTGAAGAGGAACAGCTGTTGGGGAAAATGTGGCCACGAACAAATTCTGTCTGCACAGCGGCACCCACCCCCCCACCCCAAATGCATCAACTGAGAAAGTCCGTAATAAGCGCAGCGTTCTATTTATGCGCTGGTGCACAGACACCAGGTAAGCCGCGAGCGGAGCTGAACATTAGAGAAGTTTGTTTTGGGGTTAGACACGTGCGAATATAAATGTGTCGTTAAACCCGCCACCACCCGCCACAGAAAATTAGTAAGGTTTGTCACGTAAACAAAACGTGCCAATTCGTTACTCGTACAGCACGCCGGTTGTGTGTTGGAGAGTAAACCCACAACATTTACAATTCCGAGTATGACGTTTCGCCAGTAATTACAACGAGCATCAGCAGGCCACTGACATTTGCAGCTGGACAGTTGTAAAGTGAGCGAACAGCACCCACAACCAGTGCTGTTTGCTTTCGCGCAATTCCAAGGACGAACATATTCGGTCGTCGTTGAGAATTTGATGTGTTTATTCATTTAATCGCTACGATGATAGTAAAACGTAAACGACTGTGAACGAGAATCATCAAGCGTGCCGATGACTCCGACCAACGACCTGAGACACGACGAGACGGGCGTTACCAGTCTCAAACGAAGACGCAGACTCAGATAATGTTGAGAAGTTCTTAAGCTACTGCGGCGGATCGAGGAAGACCAATGAGTGGAAATTGGCTACGTGTAAAAAATATATAGATGTAAAATTTATTGAGATCACTGATTGGCTGACCTGATCATGTTGGCAGAGATTGCACAATCTCCACACCAACGTTGAGTTAGAGTGGGTGGGCTAGACTAAGTGAATGACCGTGTGATGAAATCTGCAGACTAAGATTTGACTAAGATTCAACTTGTTGCCCCCGACTAGACTCGGACTACAGGCTCAAGCAAAACGCTGACCAAGCCAACCCTGGGGAGTGCACATGAAGGTCACCAGGCAAAGGAATATAATCGCTTGTTTTGATAACGTTCGAGCGAGATATAAACTATCAGCGCACTCGATGTAAAGGCAGGCCCAAACTTTGGACTTGAGGGCGACGTGCCCCAGAGTGGTCTACGGCATTGCCGATCCACCACAGCCCATGGGCCACAGCAACAATTTAGGTACCACTATAGGGGGGGGGGGGGGGGTGGCAACTATTTTTGTGAAATTGGTTCCGTACGTGAAAAACAACGGTGGTTTATGGTGATCACATACTGCTTAAGTAAGTTAATTGAAAACAAAAAAAAATCAGTTGTACTGTAAATGTAAATATTTTGGTGCAACTCAAGTAATGCATGTCAGGCAGAATCATGCGAAATATTCTTGGTCTGACCCTAGCTCTTGGCTTGCGAACCAGAACATTGCCTGCCTGCTCACCCCGATTCACATGTTTCGGTGACAAGCAGCAAAAGGACATCTGTGCATAGAGAGCAGTCATAAAGCACCAAAAGTCGAGAGCAGAGGAAACGTATTTGTAAAGAACCTTTTATCACTTGTGGGAGGTGTTTGTAACCACACCCGGCACGGCTCTGCCGGCGGTGACTAAATAAAGCTTTCTGGGAGCACTTCCCGGCCTGGTGGTGGATAAGTGGGGAATCTTTTAAATATTCCCTCTTAACTTAGCTCCAACCAGGAGTATATTATCCTGCAATATAAATGGGAGGCGGGGGGGGTGTGTGTTAACCAGGCGGTGCAAAGAATTGGGATTCACTCCGAGTGGGTATTTATTTGAAGGCAGATTGTTGGTGGGTAATTACCAAATCGTGCCATCTACTGTGAAGTGGATGTTAAAAGCCCTTTGATATAATTAGTGAAAGCGGGCTGGTATCGTTAAAGGCAAATTTAAGAGTTTTGACATTAATTTGTACTTTCCCCACGCCTCGCCCCAGATCTTTTGGTGCCGGCTTGGTGACGCCTTTGTCCAGCAGAGGATTGACCATGGCTGATAATGTTCCAGAAACTAATTCTTCTAAAAAGCCAATGAAAACCTCCATGAGGTCTCACTTTGAAATGATTCAACCGCGCATACACGCACACCTAACCTACGATACAACGGAGAACGCGTCAATCCAAAGCGTCTCATTGAAGTCATGCAACTCCTGCTCAGCCTGAAGTGCCACGAGTGTCCTCAAGGGTCAACATTCTTCCACTCGCAAAAAAAATATATCAAAAGGAAACTGCACCCAAGGTATACTCCTCCAAACGTAGGTTGCCGTCGCCAATGCTACCGATCCATATTTGCTTCTAGTTGGTTTACGTCAATATCCTCGAGCCCTCTGCCACCCGACAGAATCGTCTTATATCGTGGTTAACCGTTGTATATCTTGGTTAAGGGTGAGCATCTTGCTGGGTAGTGCATGGTTAACAGCAATAAACTACTACGTGGCCTAACACACACACACACACACAAAAACAAATATTGATCAAAGTATATTTCGAACTCTATTTTACCTTAACTCGCAACACACATTTTGTAGCCACGTACGTGAACCGCAGTATTGTTGCTTTGTTGACTGGCTGTATATATATGAACCGTGTGTTGTTTTTAATTAAGTGAAACAAAGGTGGGGGATTGCTGGCGTGTGCCGCTGTCCCCTTTCCCAATGCTGCTGTGCTGGTCGCATTAACTCCATGGGTGCTGTTAACTGTAATGAAACACCCTCCTCTCTCTCTTCTGTCTCGCGAAGAAAATTCCACCCGCAAACCAATCCTCCCTTGTTTAAAAAAAAAATAAAACCTTCCCATCGCACCACTTCTTTGGCACCACGCAAAGCTTACTCACCACGCACCACCCCCGAATTTAACTTTTAGCAGCGGTGGCAATTCCGTAAGCCTCAAGACTGTTGTTGACTTGCGTCGCCACACCGGACAGGCAGACGAGGAAAAGTCGAGCGTTCGCCAAAGCCGGGATTGTAACTGGCAGCGGCACATTAAGGGATGGGCTCAGCCCCTTTTCGCCAATTCCCAAGTCTTCCTCAAGTTATATGAACAATCGCAGGCATTGTTCACACATCACCCAGGTGGAGTGCCTCAATCATACGTTGAATCACGGCAAGAGCCCCACGTAGAATAACATTGTGTCACAACACGAGTGTTTCGCAACAAAAGATGTACACGTTTCAACTCCACCACCCCAGCATCATCGGTTGCCTTCACTATGGACCTTGACAATGGCCTTCAGCACAACGGCATCACACGTTTGATTAGGAGCCAGAGTTCTAAATGCTGTTTGAGATAGAATTCCTCAAGTATGACCAGGGCAAAGAATGGCACCGTCCTACAACATTCGTCTTGAAAACAAATGGTGTCAAATAAAACCAAGGTATGGAGAAACGAAGCACACGTTTATTGTTGTACATTGTTACTGCAGACGAGTGCACTCAACACCGGTCCCTCTCCATCCTCCCAGCCTTGTTTCACATCACTCGGCTGTAGATAGAACATGTGAATGATGCAATTCTCAAGTGAAAAGTGGACAGCCCTGGCCGACTTCTCGCATATTTGTAGAGCCACAAATCACTCAAAATTGTATTATTTATTGCTGCACCGTTTAAAAAAATAATCAGCACACTGTACATCGATAATTACGAATCCTATGTTGATAATATGCAAGATTTGTTCAAGGAAAATGTACCCACGGGTTAACTTCATTCGCCTTTAATTAGCAAAATTGCAAAGTCCCGATTTGCAATATCTGTATAGGGCTAGCCTCCACTAGGTGCAGACAACTTGAGGGGGTGTACATAGAGATAATTCATTTGGTCAGGGAAGCAACAGACAGCTCTGCTCTTGACAAGATTGCATATTGACCACCATCTGCTTGAAAGCAGGAAAAGTGAAAGCATGATAGCTTAACAATCTCCCCCTTCTTTGGATGCTCCCGCTCTTCGTTGGAGGAAACAATTTTTTTGCCACTGCACGTGGAGGAAACGAGATGGCTGTCAGTGAGCCCCCCCCCCCCCCCCCCCCCCGATGCTCCAAAACTCCTTTTGCACGATCCAAAAAACAGTTTACGGCTGAAAGCTTTCGTTAAAAAATGAATCCACAACTTGGAAAAAAATTACTGTAAACAACTGGGGAATTGTTTCATTCAATTTTCATTACATGGAATGCCAACTCTTAAACCCATACCAGAGCCAACTTTGTGTTTAAAGAGCGCAGCACTGCACATACTAAAAACACGGCGGCACGATCGTCTTTCTTTCAGATTATATTTTTAATAATTTTTTTAATCTCTCAGCATAAATACAGCGGGTGTGCTTTTCAAATACAGTACGTTTCATCAACACGTCTACACAGTAGAGCTGAAATTGTAAAGTTCATTAAAAAAACCAATGTTTTTAGCCAGTTCATCCCTCCCCCCAGTTCATTCTTAAAAAATGTTTCCTGGAAAGATTCCATTAATCTTTCTATCACTTGTGTGCCTCCCCAAAAAAAAGTTGCTTTTTTTTAAACACAATTTTGTATCGATTTCTGCAGTTACATTGTTAAGCTTGTACATCTTTACGATTAGAGTGCAGACTACTAAAGTGATGACAACTGTACTGTACTACGCTGTATTTCAATCACTTAGGGCAGGTTTTTTCCCCCCAAAGCAATTTTATTTATTAAAATATATAAGCTATGTTAGTTTCAAAATCAACAGGTACAACTGTTCCAGTTAAGCAATATGTAGGTAGCAAGGGTTGGAGTTGTGTACAGTACCTTTTTTTAGTTTAAAAAGTAATTTATTTTCCATTTTAAAAACTAAGTATTTTTTCTGTGCACTGCATTCACTCCGGGCCATCTTAGCCAAGCTCCAAGTGAGGTAGATGAACATTCAAATGTTCAGTTTGTCTGCAGTCTCTACAATGAGTATTATTTTCCACACAAGGAATGTCCCAGCATGCCTTCAGCCAGTTCCACGTCCTCATTGAGAACAAAGTCCGCTTGTTTCAAAACAGCGGGTTTTTCACAAAACTGATCACTTCTAAAAATGAATCTTGAACAAGAGTGATTTATAATTGTCCTGGGTTGCACATTACAACCCACGCACTTAAAACATAGTTGGAGGACTGCAAACTTTTTAAACATTCTTTTTTAAAAATATAGTTAGTTTTGACAATTTACAGTCCGTGATGATTCCTCACTTTGCAATGTCCTCATCCAAAGTTAAGGATTAAAGAGAAATAACGCAAGTCAAGCGATGCCCCCCCCCCCGCCCATCGTGCCATTAAAAGTCACCGTCAAATGTTGATTTACCGTCAGCGTTAGTCATCGCCAGTGTTGATTCGCACACTTCCGCTGAAGCCGACGTCAAATTAAAAAGCCAGCCACTGGCTTCCAAGTGGGTCCAGCCAATATTATTGCTATAGAACACACTTAAGACAGTTGGGCGCAGATTCGGATAAAAATGTAAACATTTAAACAAACTGTTCTCTTTTTTTAACATTCCTGGCCTTTTAAGTGAAATGACACTCGTACAAATCCAAAACACAACAAAGCATGCTATGGGAGCACCCCAGAACCTTAAAAGCACATCTCACCAATCTGTAACGTCAAAAATTTCAAAATTCAAAGGCGTTTTTTTTTTTTAAACAGTTGTCTTGTTAAGTCTCTCATGCAAAAGACCTCTAACATTGTTTTTCCCCCCAAGAATGGTAGCAAAGAGAACAGTAAGAAAAACTAAAAATTACTCATTTCCATATGCATTTCCCCAGTTCTGGCATGTGCTCCAAACAAAGCAATCTATGCCAGTTTCTGGGAGTGACATTTTACATTAAGTGCAGCTATGCACTGAATGAGTGCATCTCTCAGTATGATGTCATGAGGCCACAGCGGAGCAAGTCGACCCAATATTTAAACGAGCTATGGGAATACGGCACAACTTTGTTTCTAAACCTCGGTGTCAGGAGATTGCATTTCAGGCTATAGCATGAAAAAAAACACAATCATCAATTTTTAAATCCCTATGTTCAGTGTGACACGTCATGTCTAAGGTTTTTTTTTGCAAACCCAATTCTGAAACTGCAGCAAAATCTTTCGTAAAAACAAAAAAAATTGGTCCAAAAATGTGTTCGACACATCTAGAAAAGAATATGCAACTATGCATCCCCATCTGATGTGCCGTTTGTCTTAAATTGTAACAAACAAGGATCTGTTACATTATAGCCCACAATGCCCTTGGTAGAACCACACCAGTCTCACAAAATAACACCATCTCCTGAAACCAGTTTTAAAAATCCTTGTTCCCATAGCTCCAAGTCAAGGCTTATAAGGAAGGTGATAATGTTGTAAAAATCTAGGGCCAAATATGAATGCCGTGTTTAACCGCCCAACAACAACGTAGGGCTGCTGTGTCAGGTGCAAGAAATAATTTAAACAGTGGGTTGCTGCAAAAGCTGCTGCAAGTCAATTGCCCAAGCACCACTTCTTAAAGAGTTGGCCCCACCGAGTGGGAGCAGTGGTTTGAGATTCAGATCTTGTAAGCAACCATTTTTCCAGCTCTCCATGACAACCCCCATCCATCACAAGTATTGTAATATGAAAATAAAAGCAGAATTATCTTGATTGGCAGACATCTGAGCCATGGGCAGGTCTAAGTTTTTCACCTCGTTAGTTAAATGAAACGCTGCAATGCGAAAGTGGTTTCACATATTGAATTAAAATAAAAGCAGCAGTTGGTGTTTTCTTGTTAAGAGTAAAATAATCCAAGCCACAACAAGCGCGAGCTCCTGCCTGCTAACTCCAACAGCATGTTTCATCTTGTGGCTATGCCCATGTCAACAGATATAGCTCCGATGCTCACTCGCAGGACACCAAAATTGGTATTTTTTTCCCCCCACTCTCATTACCTCACCTGAAAAATCTAAAAGCAATGCCATGATCAACAGCAAAAAAGAGAATGAAAGAAAAAGGGGTTAAAACTACAATTGTGCCATCAAAATACTGTTTGCAGTGTTTACATGTTACATTTCATTGTATTGTATATAACATATGTCAGTTATACAAAAACGTTAATAAAAATAGCTGCATTCAAAGCGTATGTTCAAACAAATATGCTTGAAAAAGGACCTCCTTTTCAATCCTGTCGTATGCCCAACCATCTTAAGTTATTTCAGTCATTTCATTTTAAAGCCAAACATTCAACTGTATCTTCACTCCTCACTTTCAGTACCAGCGCTTTCCACTGTACATCACATGCTCAGGGTCATGACAGCAGTTCTCATTTTAGAAAGACTTTATTCAGTTCCGATGTCTTAAACTCCACATCGCAGCCACCATCCTTAGCGATCACCACATCGCCATCGCGACCACCACCACCTTAGTCATCACGTCCACAAATAGTCCTCGCCGTCTCTTTAAAAACGCATTGCTAACCGAACGTGTTGACGGAAGGGGGCACTCGGCCGTGTCTCATCTCACTCTGTCACTCTCCGTCATCTGCCAGAGTCCCAGGTTGAGCACCTTGAGGCAGGGCAGCTGCGTGATCCTCTCCAGCCCTCGCTTGGTGATGCGGGTGCATCCGTATAGGTCGATGCCCGTGAGCTGCGTCAGGTGGTCCGCGATGAGCTCCAGGCCCTTGTCCGTGATGCGCGTGCACTGCCCGATGTTGAGCGTGCGCAGGCTGCTCATCTGCCGCACCATCCTGTCCAGCCCGTCGTCGCTGATGTGGCAAGAGCAAAGCGACAGAGACTTGAGGTGGTACAGGCCCTGCGCCACGTTCGCCAGACTCTGGTCGGCCACCTTGTCGCAAAACGACAAGTCGAGACCGCCGAGCCGCAGCGTGCCCGTCGACAGATGCATGATGCCCGCATCGCTGATGTTGTCGCACGAGCGCAGGTTCAGCGTCCGGAGGCTCGCCATGTGCGACAGGTGCACCATGCCCGCATCAGAGATGCCGCCGCAGAAGCTCAGGTTCAACGTCTTGAGGTTGGTCAGGCCACGCGCCACACACTTGAGCGCCGCGTCGCTCAGCTTCTGGCAGTCCTGTAGCGTCAGGTGCTCCAGGCCGGTGCAGCCCTCGGCCTCCGTAAGGCCGGCCAGGTGCGCGATGCCCGCGTCCGACACGTGCCGGCAACTGCGCAGGTTGAGGCTCTTGAGGCCGCGCAACCCCCACGCAACCAGGAAGAGGCCACCGTTGGTGACATTGCTGCAGCCCGCCAAGTCCAGCACCTGCAAGCCTTTGAGGTGCTGCGCGATACGCTCCAAGCTGCTGTCAGTCACCTGCTTGCAAAGGCTGAGGTTGAGCACACTGAGCGAGGGAGTGTCGTGCATGAAGGCGTGGCCCAGCCCAGCGTCCGTCAGGTTGTAGCAGCCGCTCAAGTTGAGGCTCTCAAGCCGCGGGAGGCCCTGCACCACGTAGCTCAGGCTGCGGCGAAGGCTCAGCACCTGCAGTGTACAGCGAACAAAACAAAGGTTCAGTCTCAGGTGGAAGGAAATGGACATGTAAAAAGATGTGTTGCACAGTTCATAATCGATTGCTAAATTACCAATAATGTGCCCAAATATAGTCAGATCCTGGACAACAAGCAGGATTGAGCCTGGCTAGTGCTTGCATGGGTGACCATGCATTAAAGCAAGTTGTTATAGGCTGTCCAGTTGCAATTTTATTTACAAAAAAAGCGTCACGTTAACACCATTTCATTTTTCTTACATGCAGTTTCTTCATTTACAAATCTTAAATGGATTCTCACATGCAAAATTAATGCATGCATTGTGAGTATTATCAGTCGGAATCAGTGTATCATTCATTACAAACCAAGTAAAGACAGGCAGAGCTTCAGTCACTGCCGAATTTTAAAGATTGGAATTAAATATATGGTGTTATAGTACATCTCCCACTGGCTTATAAGTCGGCAAGTCTTTGTATTGTAGGGAATATAAAATGTAAACCTTAACAAAGGAACCCGGAGGGCATGTTGTAGGTCATCAACGCATCTTTAACATCCACTTGATGGCAGATGTAACTCGAGTATTATTATTCAAGAATAAAAAGAGTGGTAACGATCAATAAAATCCTTTATTCAATACACAACAGTTAGTGACACAGCACATCTCTATTTTACGGACGTTTATGTGCCAGGAAGTATATTTTGTATGCAGAAACGTCACATTGTTGTTTGTTATTACCAATCACATCGACAACTGCACTGTCAAGAGTTCCATGGAATGAGGAAACGTAGTCCTTCTAGAATCCTTCAGCAGCAAAACCTCGCATTGGAGAATGGCCCCGGAAGGCGGCACCAACCACCACACCACTTCTGCTGGAGTCGCTCAAAATGGGCCTTCTTACCCAACACTGGAATGCACCCATCTTCATTCCCACATGGCAATCGTCCAGTACACAATACATTATAGATTATTTAAACTTAAAAGCCTCCTTGCTGGGGGATCGGCCATTTATGCCTAAGACCAATCTGTGTGACACTACTGCATAGGTTTTAGCAGTCGTGATGAGATAGCTTTTGACAATGAAGCTCTCCGAACTTGTAGAGAAATGCCTGAGAAGCATGCTTTCACAAACACCCACCCCGGTGCAGGCCGAACAGACAAAACTACAACAATGTACTTTGTGCAGTCACTGATGACCGGGTTGAAACCATCAACTCACTGTACTCAAGAATGTGGCTTAATCACGGGTCGCTGCCAAGTCGAACCCATGTGCTCCAGTACAGCCATTAGCTCCCATAGCCACCCGGCCACTTCCTGTAGGTGATTAACCAATTTGTAAGGGAGCACAAAATGGCCAACTTTCCAATTTTTACAGAAATGTTTCACCCTTACATCATGCATTTCCCGCTGTCTCTCGATGGAGACAATGTCCCATCAGCGTCCCACCTCGTTACAAGTATATTTTTTTTATTTGATCTATAATAGCAATTGGTGTCTTTCAAATCAGGTGAGACCGTTAATTTTTTTTATGAAACCTGGATGAAAATAAAAGATTGCATTGTTAGTGGTGCAAAATAAAATAAATCAAATCAAATAAATCGCGTTTGTGGGTTAGCACGGCCTTCTAAAAAAAAAATGTACAGCAGGCTAATATTTCGGAAGGCGGCCAGAAACCTTTCAGCAAGATAAGCGCAATTGTCCAAAACATCAACCTATTGTGCATTTTCATGTTACAAGGCCGTGTTCATGATGCACATGGAGTTAAAAATGTTCGTGCAAGATAACCATCGTTGTATTGCGAAAGTTACCAGATCAAAGCTGTAACAACAGCAGTAACATCACAAATTATGAATGTTCAGTATGGGTAATGGTCAAATTGGGCTACATTTAGATGCCAACGCTGGCACAATCTTACAAATAAATTAAAACAATTTAAAAAGGTCTACTTCACAGAAGGAAAAAATAAATCGCCATACGGTGCAGTAAGTACAGGAGCAAAAAGGACAATGATACAGCATACAATTACAAATACCATGTTGGGATTCGAACCTTCGACCTCGCCATCTGGAGATGAACGCAATGACCGCCTGGCACCACCATGCATTCCCATGTGAAAGTAAACTCTGGCTCCCCTCCACCCACTACGAACATTTACTTTGCAAAGAGAAAACTGGGGACCTCGACAACCCACTAGACCCGTCTCTTGAGGAGGGCAGCCTGGGGCCACCTACACCATTCATGCCCTGAACCTAGGACCTCTGCACCATTCCCTGGGAACCATTCCTTTGTGTAATGTAACCTGAGTGCACTCCCTGACCTTTCCCTTGTACGGGAAACCCGGAAACCCCCAGTAACCTTTCTTGTGTGAAGGGAAACGCGAGGGCTTCCACGTCCTCCTTCAGTGTTTATGTGTGCATGCAGGAGGGCAGTAGCGTTGTATGTACACTTTACAGGAAACACAGGCAGTTGTATACTTGATGGTGCACGTGGGAGTCCATGTACTATGTACATATACACAATACGCATTCGAATATATACGTGGTAGTGCACGTGCGAGTATACAGTATGTGCATGTCAGCTTATGTCCCGTATATACATAGTGAACATATATTAGTGAACAGTATATGGATCCGCAACAGTAAATTCTACGTAATGATTTATGGTAAAATTATGAAGATCATTCAAATTGAACATGCAAATCAAAATATTAAATAGAATACAACTGGGCTTCAGACATCCAATGTCCAAAGAAATTCAATCCGAAACTCATCCCGAGTGCAATCAATTACTTAGTGCGAGTGTATGTGCGTGGAGAATATGTTAGTGTACTTAAGTGGATGCAGCATGGATGTATACAACATGTATGAGTGTATACAGTATGTGTTTGTTCATGTGGAGGCCGTCATCCGACGGCAGAGGAGCTACAACTCAGAACGAGTGAAGCGCCGGGTGGCTAAAACACAGACAGTTGGCACAGTAGGGGGCACAGGTGGTGGCATCGGCCAGTCATCTGTCAGTCCACCCAGGCACCTGGGTCTGTCCCGTGACCTCCTGCCAGTTGGCGTTTGACATTTCACGTGGCCGTAAAGTGCACATAGCCTGGCACAAGTGCCGTGGTTACGTCACCGCCACTTAATGGCGAGTGGCTCTTGCTGTCGTGTATGCGTGTAGGGAATATCATTGTGAACATATTTGGCAAAGGGGGGCTTGGCTCGGTGGCAGTTTGAGCAGCTCACCAGGCGTTATGCTTGCAGGTACAAATCCTTGTTGGGGGGGGGGGGGGGTAAATGCCAAATGAGATTCATTCAGGGGGTCAATAAAACGAAGTACCACTTTATGGAGTACTCAGCAAGAACTCGTCCCTGTCATACGAATGAAGAATTTTCACCACTGGCAAATGGTGTAAAACGGGAGAAAGGGGTCACTTGAAGGTTCATTTGTACAGAAAAATCACGAACTTTTACATTTGTATGCAGTGTGAGTGTCGTACATGCGAGTTTTATATTCCATGCGAGGATATACATTAATGTGCGTATGCGTACAGAAACATGTTAAGATATAGTGAACAAAATGTGTACAGGAGACGAGGGGAGTTGTGACTTCAAATGCAGCAAATTTACATTTACAACTGGCACGATGCATCCACCTCTGGATGAAGGTCTCCTCATAATCAACAGCAATCCCTCAGTATTGCAATTCTATAAATCTAACTTGCCCCCCCCCCCCCCCCGCACAGGAGCCCAATCTTGTCACTCCTCCGTAGCCACTGCTGGACATGTTCCCTCTCCTTGGGCCGTCATTCCGTCACCCGTCCTAATCCATTCTAGCAACCATGCACCCTACCCACGACCAATTATTGCGGGTGCAAATTTGACGTCTCAAATTTGCATGTACAGTATTATTTCATTCAAGTCTTTGTCATCCTTACCTCAGCGTATTTCCCAGCAGAGCCGCAACTAGTGAATATAAAAGTAGTCAATCAATTGGCTTAATAAGACAATTGAATATAGTCTGCATAAAAATGCAACAATTACCACACAAGGCTGAGGCTATCTGCAGGACAAATCATGTAATAATAGTCCCATACTAACACAGACTGTAGTTCAATTACTAACAATACAGCACAATATTAACCAATTCGAACGTTAATAATGATTAAAGAAATCAGAATAACTTTTAACGATTCGCACTAACATTCTACAATTACAATGAATACACATTGCAAACAGCCCTTATATTTAATCTACTGCTGGATGACGGCCTCCCCATTCTGTCATCATACTTCACACCACTGGTGTGGCTTTGTAAAGGCTGGATCCGGTTAGACATCAATGGCAGCCGATGTGCGCCGTGGCCAAGAATTGAACTCTGTTTACTGGGTTCATAGCACAGTGCATTAAACACTGCGTCACGGCTCCACACTAAATATAAAACACTACAAATGGAGAATGTCCCTTAAAAAAACACTTAAACAAACTATCAGACTAACACTTAAAGTGTGATTGTACTATACCAGTAAATTGTAACCATAGCAAGTCTAATTTGGGCAAGGATTGATGACAGTCACTGTATCAACATGTGAGCCTGGATGTCTGGGCCTCACCATATTATAATGGCTGCCGATTAATAGAGTCCTCAAATGACATGTACATAGAATAAAATTCAGCATAGTCCTTCCCATAGAAAAAATAATTGCAGCACCAATTCCCAGCATGCATTCTATACGGTCTCTCTGCTATTGTACGTGTCAGAAACCACGTTTCCGATCTCCATTCCAAACCAGGCATATGCAATGATTGCAAATCGTCTTTTTTATGCACACTGCAAGTAAAAGACAGAAACATCCACAAATGGTAATCTTTACACAAGCAACATGGCACTATACAGTACCAAAATGCGTAGTGGATGGATTAAAGGAGACCCATTTACTGAATGTTTACACAATTTAATTGTGTTGTGATGTTTTTTCTTCACGCGTGGAGACAAAACCGACTAATAACTAGAAACCCATTAGTCTCTTAGTACACCTACCTGAAACTGTTCACCAAGACCAGAGAACTAAATACATGTACAACGGAGGCCAAACAGTTGGGATTTAGAAAAAAGGGTCATTTGTAGAAACTCATTATAAAGAATCTAGAAAAATACGGAAATCAAACACCATTATGCCAGGCTATATGAGAATGCTGAAAGAAACTGTGTAAATTATGCATTTGTCCAAGATCTCGCGAATCAAGGCGTTAAATTTAAAGGAAATAATAAAACTATTTACTGTATAAACGCAGGGCAACCTATCCGCCGATTGAAAAACGTAACAGAATACTAAAATCAGAGGGGGTCAAACGTCTCATCAAGGCTCACAGCAAGCAACATTTTGTAAAATATATATTCTCCAAAGATAGCATTGGAGAAAATAAATGTATCAATTTAAAGACGCATTAAAGTGCACCGACCACGAGTCTTTATAAAACTACAAGAATGGAAATCTATTGAAAACGATTCCACTTTAACGCCAAGCAAAAAAAAGAGTTGGGCTAAAAGATAAATGAACAAAAACCAAAGTCTGGTACCGAATAATAAGTTTGTAGAGCAAGAAGGACATTTGTTGGGACCTCGATAGAACCCGATGTAGTTACTAGGTGCCACTGTTAATTAGCGAGGGCGGACGGCGATAGAGGTTGGAGTACTTTTCGGAAAACTGAATGGGGGGGGAAAAAAAGCACAGCATATGCAAAGCATCTGCATGGATGAAGTTGCATTAATACCCAGAACCTTCTGCGCAATTCATACATTGTAAGAAACTAGTTAAGACGCCACACATGTCACAAAATCACGCGTATATAATGAAAATTCAAAACACAAGTATTGCGAGTATACAGACGTATTTGTGGATGTGTCCGGTTGGCCAAGTATGCAGCACAGTAACATGTGTGCATATGCAAGTGTATACGCGGAGTATGTGTGCAGGACAAGCGAATGATGTGTGTAGCAAGTGTATGCTCGCGACTCCACGAGACAGTACGTGCACCTCAAGTATTTTTTTGCCATGTGTCAATGTGTAGCCATGTACGAGGTTGTATTTTAGTTCACAGTACGCGTGTACAATACAGTGTAAAGTACATGGTTGAATGCATAGTTCATAGAGCAAGTACACAGTTGAGTACAGTAGTATACAGTGCGCGAGTGTATACTCGCAACACAAATTGAAGCTGCATGTGTATACAGGACATGAGCGCATGTCGGTACTGTTTTTTTATGCAATTACAGTTTACATTACGCGTGTACAGTACGCGGGCGCATACAGTACGCCTATATGTACTGTACGTGCACACATTACCATAGTAGACAATGCCATACAGCACCTCACAGATGTACTCGCATACCCTCACAAGACACTAAAACCAACACAACACATCACACCACAGTATAGGCGACCACAAAAAAAAACACGTGTACAAATTACCGCACACAGCAATTGACACAGAACACACACGTGCACATCTTCCACGCGCCGCACAGGCAACTACTAACACAGACAACACGTGCACGCGCACACACACACACGCGAACACAAAGTCACATACATGACCAAACTACCCACATTTTTACACGCGCGCGTGCAGCGTGTACACAAGCAAGCGGTGCAGCTCGACACACAAGGGGCATCTCCCCCCCCCCACCGCCTGTGTGTGTGTGTACACGCTACAGCGGCGTACAGAGAGATATAGAGAGCACGGTCAAAGAAGACGGCCACAGCGGCGGCGGCGGCGAGCAACCATTGGGGGTCCGACCTGCACTCGGGCGATGCCGCGGGCCTGCAGCGAGGGGAAGAGGGACGGGTTGGCGCGCCTCAGGTGCAGCTTGGCCTCCACGCCGCGCCACACGGAGCGGTGGTAGGCGGCGTCGCGCCACGCCGAGCACACCTGCGCGGCGCGCCCCTTGTCCCGCACGTCCAGGTAGCTGAAGATGAGCGCCAGGATCTCGGGGAAGAGGCACGACACGTGCGTCTCCATGGCCGTTTGTGGAGCTCTTCGTCCTCGTCGTGTCGCAGGCACACCTCCCTCTCCACTCCTCCACTCAGTCTCTCCTCTCTGCACCACCCCCTCTCCTCCTCCTGCACACTCCTACTGTTACCCCTACTGTTAGGGTCACTGGTGAAGACTGCTGCGGTTGGTCGTGTTACTGCTGCTGGGGGGTTTGTGGCTTTTGGTGTTGGTGACGATTCTCTTGGTTAGTAGTGGTGGTTGTTGGTGCCGCTATGATCTTTGTTGCTGTTGGTGGCGATCGTATCGATAGTGTTGGGGGTTGTGCTACGATGTGTGACTATTATTATTGGTATTTGTGGCGATATGATCTGTTGCTGCTTACGAGTATTTGCGAGTGGTGGTGCTGCTGCTGCTGCTGCCGTGATGTTCGTGACTACTGCTGGTTGATGGCGGTAGCGCTATGGCTGCTGTGGCTGTTCGTGTTACAAGCTGCTAGCCGCGTAGATTCTACTGTAGTTGTTGCAGCGGCGGTGTCGCTGGTTATATTGTTGGGTGACGGCGTTCTAATTGGTGGCGGGGTGTTGTGTCGCTTCTATTATTGACGGCCGTCTGCTGCGGAACGCAACAAGACTTGGATACCAGTTACGAGTCGCTCTTCTTCACCGTCTTATGGTTCTTTCTTTCGGAATTGCCTTATCGCGTTAAGTATCGCACCGGTCGCGAATCTTACTTTAATCCCCCCGTGTTCCACGTTCTTGTCTTAAATCAATTAAATAATTCTCTTTTTGATGGCTTGCGAGGTCGATCGTGAGGCAAAACATTTTCTTCGGAAAAAAATTACGCCGATTTGAATAAAAAAAAACGGCCCCGCACCGTGAACATCAACGAGAAAACAACTTAAGCTAAAAAAATAAAGACTGCAAAACATTTATAAAATAAAAGTTTGTTTAAACGCCACCTCTGAAGACGCTGCGCACCGCCCCGCGCGGCCAGACACCGCGGAGTCTCGCGCAGGCGGAAACGAAACCCCCCCCCCCGCAGCCCCGCCCCTCCTTCACTCTGGCCCCGCCCCTCCTTCACGCACCCGCCCCTCCACCGGCCCCGCCTTTTATCCTCCGCTGCCCCGCCCCTCACTCCCCCCCCCCCAACATCTCCCGGCTTGGTGACAGCCCCCCCCCCGCCAACCCTATCGAGTGAAACCCCCTCCCCGCAGCCAGATTCTCGCTTGCCCCATTGGCTAACGCACGGACCACGTGGTGTTTTTTGGCGGGGACAGGAAATCGCGGGAGAACGCGGATGGATGACGTAGCTTCCGGTGGTGAGGGGTGGGGGTGGCACAGAGTGTGGGTGGGTGTGTAGGTGAGGGGGGGTAAACTTCAGCTGCTGCCGAGTCACAACCCCCCCCCCTCCCCGCTTCGGGGCCCCTCCCACAATCAGCCCCGCCCCTATCCTCCCCACCCCCGCTTACGCCCGCCCCTCCCCCACATGGAGGTAGTCGCGGTGTGTGGGGGCGCGCGCGCTGTGATGACGTCTCCCCGGCGTCGGCGAGAGGGAAGAGGCGGAGTGGAGTGGTGGCCCACGTGGGTGGGGCGCGTGCGCGCGCATGGTCGCACGAACGCCGTGGAATGGATTGTCACGAAATGTTTTTAAGAGCGAACTTTTGTGCTCTAAATCTTGATTTGAAGCTTTAGTGACCCCCCAGGAATTGGTCTGTGGTTGTTTCGGTAAAGTCACGTAGAAAGAAATAATTGTGATCTATTATTTATTTGTTTATATCTACGTGTACCGAAAGGACCACAGAGTAATTTGCGTTCTTTTTAGATTTTAATTTTCAACGCGTAGGCTCTCGCGACCCAATATTGTTCACTAAAATAAGACGTGTGGGTTAGAGCGCCTAAGTATAAATGTGTTGTTTAACCCTCCACCAACCCGACACGGCCAAGTAAGGTTGGTCACGCAAACAACGGTGGAGGTTTTACGACACATTTATTATACTTACGCTATCTAACCCACAAAAAAAACCCTTTATCATGATTGTGTGCTCTTCCAGTGATATTTAAACCCCGTTTGTAAATGTTTAACGCGTAGGGTTTCGCGACCAATATACATAATATAAGGGTGTTTTGGGGCTACATCGCGTAAATAATAAATGTGTCGTTAAACCCGCCACCACCCCAATTAGTAAGGGGTTCGTCACGTAAACAGAACGTGTCAATTCGTTACCAGTACAGTGTGTTGGTGAGTAAATCCACTTTGTAAACGTGGATTAGCTCTCTAACACTTACCGGTGTTGCTGTGCTAGTAACGAATTGGCCACGTTCTGTTTACGTGACGAACCCCTCACTAATTGGGGTGGTGGCGGGTTTAACGACACAACATTTATATATTAACGCGATGTAACCCCCACCAATAAAAACCCTTACGTTCTGCTCGTTCGTAATTATCGTCGTGGTGATAGCGAAGCGGCAGTGTCCGTGATCTTAGTCATAAAGTCCCCCGTGTTGTACTGCGACGTCCCAACTTTTTAGGCACGCGTTTATATTATTAATCCTATCGTGATTCACACGATTTCTGTCTTTTGTTATTCCCAGTTTGCATTTGTACCGATTAAAAACATCTCGGCGGACTTGTGGTTGAATGGAATTTGCGTACGAGCTGCATTGAAACCGCAGTGCAACAATATTTACTTGTGTAACGTCAGGACGCAGGACGTACTTGGAACATTACATTAGCTTTACAAACCTCAAACGTTGCGTTATTAATGGAATTGTTTTTGTACGGAACTGTTACGGTACATGGCCTTTGGGTGACAAACTTTAGTTGCATATTTAAATTAATAACAATACGTAGCTGCAGTGCAAGATTTAAAGCGACGTAGATTCACAATGCCCTACAATCTTGGAATATGTTTCACCCTAGAATCTCGAAAACCATTGCCTTTCAGATGGTGGGTGCATGCATTAATATATTTTTTAACAAAGGCGGTGCTAATTGTAATGATTGTAAGGGACTTTTATTTTTGAGCTCAGGGTGGTGGTGTTGGCGGCATTGCCGCTACTTTAATTTCTCTACAACAGCAACACCAACCTGCTCTTTGCAGTTCAACGTTTCTGACGATCCGGTGCCACGTTTTGCTTTGCTGTCCACCCCCATCCCATCACCTTCCCATCCCTTCCCATCTCATCCCCTTCCCATCTCATTCCCTTACCATCCCTTCCCATCTCATCCCCTTCCCATCCCCATCTCATCCCCTTCCCATCTCATTCCCTTACCATCCCTTCCCATCTCATCCCCTTCCTATCCCCATCTCATCCCCATCCCATCTCATCCCCTTCCCATCTCATTCCCTTACCATCCCTTCCCATCTCATCCCCATCCCATCGCATTCCCTTCCCATCTCATCCCCTTCCTATCCCCTTCCCATCCCATCTCATCCCCTTCCCATCTCATCCCCTTCCCCATCCGATCCCATCCCCTTCCCCCTCCCGCGCCAAAAAAACGCTGCCACGGTTTTTTAAAAACACAAACGCCGTGGATCCGTTGGTGACGTCATTTCCTGGCCCTGCGTGGGGCGAGGTTGGGAGATTTTTGGGTTTTTTTTTAAACAACAAAAAAAATCTCTCAGCCGCCGCGGCCGCGGTCGCCTCTTCTCGTCCCTTTATTTGTTTTAAACCGCAACAATCGCAATTGTCTAAAGCCCCGCGTAGGGAATCGTCAGCCCCTTCTCCCAGAGCCAGCTTCGTCGTTTGAGGGGGGGGTTCACATTTCGCGTAATAAACGCGGAAGCGACTGATGTTTAACGTCGCCACGCTTGCGGCGCGTGAACATTGCGGTCACGGAGCGAGCCGTTACGGAACTTCTCATTCCTTGCGAATGCGGCGGCAATTGCGTTTGCAGGATCTGAAGGTGCCCGGTGTCGACCAACGGGAGGAGGGGGAGGGTTTGCTTATCAACAGCTGTCGCCGCAGCAGGGCCTCTCAGCAAAGTGTGGCTCGGTTCGATTCCCTGGTTCGGACTTCTCTCTCTCTCTCTGGAGTTCGTTTTCTCTCCCTACGGAGTTTTTTTCTCCCGATGTTCAGCATCCTCCGGTTTCTTGAAACCCGCGTAGCTTTAAACGAACACAAAAAAAACCACCACAACAACATAGATTGCCACTGGCCAAACAGCATCCCAACGCTGAAACATGCCCTGCGAAATTACTCAATTGGCATGGCGGGGTGAGCGTTGCCGGCCTCTCTGCAAAGGGTTTGACAAGATCCTCCTGACAAAGAGGCTTGAGACTCGGGGAGGCCTAGGGGAATAAAGGGGGGCCGTTTTACATCTGCAAAATATAAAAGCAGGACTCGTCCCTGTCTGCCTCCACAAAGAGAATCAATGTTTCGTCCATCAGCCTTTTTTTTAATGCTTTGTCAACCAATATTACCAAGCAGCATTTGTTTAAGGCAAGCAAGCTCTGCACTGGACTGGGTTTTAAACAATGCGGCTCGTATAAGTAGAGCCAGCCTTCTAAAATGAAGTCCTGCTGGATTGCCAGATGTTATTGTCATGAGCATTCCATATAAACTGTGACTGCTGGTTCATAGCGAATGCAGTACTGCGCACATACTATCTGCAGTTCACTTTGGAAAACCACATTGCAGCTCTGGCCATCCTCGCACCAGACATAAAATCCTGACGATTTAAATGACATTTCAGTACCAATGGAGACACATTCGGTCACTGCACCCTCACTACCATCTCACGCCACTCCAAATGTTGATTAAAGTCGTCATCGGTCTTGCCCAATCCACTTCTGAGTGAAGGTTTCTCCCAGCCACCGACTCTCGCAAGCCTGCAATGCAGCAATCCACACGAGGGGATTTCATTCGCTCCATCTCCTCGGAAGTACTGCATACAGTACTTGATCATTTGCCATTTCCCTTCAGAGCGAAGTGTCCTGCCAGAGCCCCATTTTTCTTAAACCATTTAAAATAACTACAAAAAATGCAAATCTCAATGCGTTTTTAAGATGTTTAGCAGACATGGGTGTCCAATGATATGCATTTATATTGTATTTATAGCGTTGGTTATAGAGTATTTCCCCTTTTCATCTTCAGATCATTTTTATTGTAGAATGTGAGTTGACGCCCGTTGACAATCTCACAAATGAAGGTATGTCACAGGATCTATAACGTCAATCTAATCATAAGCTAAAGTCAATCCACTTCTCATGATCCTGCAATGTAACAATTCACCCAGCTCCTTTAAACTCCATCTCCACAATCTTGATTTGAAGCTTTCGTGACTGCAGGGATCCATACTCTGGTTCTTTCGGTAAAGAACCATCTCCACAGTAGACAACCTGGCAGATGTGTTCCATGCCTCGACTGCCACTTTGTTAGTATTCTTCACTCGCTGTCATTCCTTTAAGCGATGTGTCTGTCTTGTCCAAGCCCTTTTAAAGTTTTTTTGTTGTAACAATTTGAATTGTCTTTAACTTCGCGAATGTTCTCTAATCCACGTTTTCCTCTCTCTCAAAGTGATCACGAGAACACACATTTTCGCACTTCACAGTACACTTTTCAGTTTATGTTCAATTTTATTTCATTAATGTCCGCGTTTCTGATCCGCCTGTCATTTCAAGGCAGTACGCACCGTTTATTAGGAGACAATAATATCCCGTGGACTGTTAACACCACCAGCTGAGCAGCTGAATTCAATCAAGCCGACAAACCGGTTGGGTGTTGGCAAGTGCTCTAAGTGCTCCACGGTATTCAGCAGCTCTCGTCCATTGAGAGCGGTAGATTCATCGCAACACAAACGTAAAAGTGGCATGCTGTCAGTTTCACAATTAATGCCTCTCTCCCACCCACCCACCTACCCCCTCACCTCCTCTGATCCCAGTCGACTTTTTTTTCGTCCTGGTGTGGGCCTGCCTGTTTAATGATTGCTAGATGCACAATTGGTGTTGTGCCTGCATGAATCGCTACCTCCTTTGTGTGACCGGACACTTCAAATGAGCCTCCGACAATACTGCCACCCACGAGCCCGATGGCATACATTCGCGCACTCCACC